GGAGGGGGGAGGTTACAGAGGTCATCGGGGAGGGCATCAGGTAGAAGGTCCCTGTGGAGGTCCCTGAGGGGACAAGCAGGGGTGGAGGGCATCTGTGAAGAACCACTAATGTGCCCCCCACAAAAAGGCCGGCCATGATAGAAGACTCATGGCAGCCAAGAGGGAGCAAATGCACTAGCTCAGGCAAAGGCTCTGCCTTGTCTCCAATCCTCCCAACCCTTGATCCTTGACTCTGGAGGGGCCAGAGGGGGTGGGAGGAGGCAAAGAGGTGGAGCAAGGACAAACAAAGACCAGAGGATGCCGACGCCGACCCTTCCACACTGCTGGTTTCCAAGCCTCCTGAGCTTGGTAGCAGGAGAAGCTTTAAACTGGCTTTAATGTGAACTGGGCTTTTTAATGCTGGTAATCTGCAGGAAATCCAGGCACTCTGCCTGGGATACTCCGAAGAGGCAGAGTGGAAGATCCACATCACCTTTAAAGACAGAGGTGGGCTCAGGATAAAGCTGTTTCCATCTAATGGTGCTACATGTCACCTCGTTTAACACTCACAGGAACCCTTTGAAGAAGGTACTACCATCTTCCTCATTTTGCAGCTAAGGAAACTGAGACTGCAGAGAAGTGCCACAAAGGTCTGTCAGCTGAAAGTGGTCTTACGACCAGATTATTATGCAGCCAGCAAAGAGCAGAACCAGGATGAACTCCAGGTTCTGATCCCAATTCCAGGCTCTCGGCAGCAAAACCAGGGTGGCAGCTGTAGCACAGCACGTCTCAGTGAGACGAACCTCCCCTTGTCAATCAAGCAGAAGTAACTCATGTGCTCTCTGCAAAGGTGCACCCACTTCTCAAAATCTCCACATGCTCAGCTTCCAGGCCACCTCCCCCTCCTCTGAACTTGCTATCTGGGCCATCACTGAGCACACAGCACAACATGCCTCCTACTTCCTTTAACTTTCAGCCCGCTCTGGCCTGTCTCCTCAGCCTGACTGCAGTCCTTGGCAGGCGGAGGCCTTGTCTCACACTTCTTTGAGATCTGGACACCAGGGTCAATGCCCAGGGTCTAGAGGCCATGACAGGTGTGCACAATCACACAGTCTGATGCAACATGTGATGGGAAAACTCCAACAGCTATCTCCCTGCCGCCACAGGGCAGCTCTACATATAAAATCTCTCCAACACACGTGTTCTAAGCAACGTTTCTAATAAAACTCAGGTGAATTTTTCTGTACTGCTGAAAATATATCTGAACTAGGCATCCAGAAATTCCCGACCACCTCCTTCACGTAGAACACATCGGGGGTTCTGCCCTCCAAGAGCTGACAGACAACGGCGGGGTGGGGGCGTGATGAGAGACAACACGTATCTATAACAAACGTTAGGGAACACTGCAGAGGACTTGAAACAGTGCCGACAGCTCTGGGAGAAAACTCCCCAAAGTGGCAGCATCTGAGGGCTTGGAACCTGTACATAAATGACCAGCTTACACACACACACACGAGGCTTCAGATGTGCTTCTAGGGCTAAGTGAAGACCAATTTACATCTGATGATCAGCTTAACTACCCACACGTACACCTCCCAAAAGGAATGTAAAAGTTTGTAACCTTCTCCAATCACAAGGCCGATGTGTATCTACATGGTATCGGCCAACACACACATGCAAAAATAATGCCTTACATTTGCATAATGACTAACACTTAGTCATTCATTCAACAGAAATTTACCGAGTGTTATAAAATGTCAGACACTATTCTAGGTACCTGGATGAATATTTACTAGGTGCCAGGCATAGTTCTGAACACTTTATACATGTGTCTTACTTAAATCACCCAACTTCATGAGGTGATTACTATTATTATTTTCTCCACTTGACAGATGAGGAAACTGAGGCAAAGAGGAGTTAAGTAACTGGCCCAGGATCACACAACTAGAAAAGTCAATCGCAGCCTCTCTTTATCTGTCTGTCTTTCTCTTTCTCTTGTGTCCTAATATTGCTTGTTGCACACGTGTGCCTAGCTCTCACCTCTGATGTCCCTGAGTCCCTCTTACTAGTTGCTGAGAAAAGTAGACTATCTGGACTCTGGGCAAGCCCTCTTCAAACCTACGCACCCCTGGGGCCAACATCACAGGCCAGGCCAGCAATGACATGTCCACCCTGGGCAGTGCAGAGACACCACTTGGAATACATCTATTCGTGTTGTGCATTTCGGCTTAGGCACGCACATAAGCACACACTCACTGCCTGCTGCTGCTAGTGTTAATTCTAACAAGCTGTGCTTGGAACTTGAGGTGGCTGCCAGTCCCCATCAAAGCAGCTGCTTGGAAAAGTTTACTAACTTGCTGAAAACAAATTCTGAAAAGCTGGTTGCTGCTCTGTGCCACCACGTGGTCGTACAGCTGGGAGGAGACGTTTCAATGAAGACCCTGGTGAAAACTCCAGAGACTCAGCCCCACACTTGGACTGCAGCCCAGCCTCACTCATTCCCTTCCCATGCCTCTTCTCTCTCGGTGCCCATTTCAGTTCTTTGTTTTCCCTCAACTGACCTTGCTTAATCCCTGGTGCAACAGACAAGCTATAGCTTGGGAATTGATGGTCACTAAGAAGTTATTTGAAAAGCTTCCTAACCAGAGAGATGCTCCCTCTCCCTCCCCACATCTCACGGGCAGACCAGCTCCTGGCTCTCACAGCTGGGTTGGATTTATCTCAAACTCGGCCTCCCCACACTTAATGCCTAACCATCAGCTGACCCCTCTGCCTGCACCCACATCCCACACCTATTCTATCTCTGATTTCTGAGGGGAGGTCTCACTAATTCCCATGTTCAACTATTACTATGTTCGCTTCATGTCTGTTAGAAAATCAGGCTATAAAAAAAAAAAATGAGCCTGAATCTAATTAAGCTTCCAGATCTAACTTCCAGCTTGTAAGAAACACAAGCTAAACAACACCTCAAGGAAGCAATCATTAGAGCAATCCTGGGGCAAACGATCCGGCTCCTTCAACAAATCAATTGCTTGCAAAAAGAGGGGGACTCTGAAAAGATGTCTTTGATACTGCAGGGGAAAATCTGTACATGGGCTGGGTATTGGCTGATACATTTTGTTGTAACACTTTAAGCAACTTTCAACGTGATATTAATGTTTAAAAAAAAAGAAGGTATTCTAGTTACAGGTGCATACTGAATGTTTACAGGGGAAAAGGATGATGCTTAGATTTTGTGTCAAAATACTGCGGGGAAAGGAGAGGAAGGGAAGGAGGAGGGAAGGGAAAAATTGAGTTCGGGAGGGACTGATGAAACCAGATTGGCAGTAATGGTGACTGCCGAAGCTACATGATGGTACATGGAGACTCATTATACTTTGCTCTCTACGTGTGTGTATATTTGCATATTTAAATAAGTTTTTTTAAAGGTCAGGCTCTAGAATAAGGCAGTTACTTCAAAGAAACCAAAAAGCCTAAATAGGAACCAAAAGGAATTCCCTGTCAGTCCAGTGGTTAAGACTTGGCGCTTTCACTGCTGTGGTCCGGGTTCAATCCCTAGTCAGGGAACTAAGATCCTGCAAGCCATACAGCACCGCCAAAATAAATAAACAAGAACCAAAGTAAATCAAAGAAATAACATGTTTCCTGGTTGGCACTGGGTCAGTGTCATCACCTGAGTGTCCCCTATGGGCCCATCACCAAACAAGGCTAGAGAGATCAAATTGACCAAGAATCAGACCAAGATCAGCTTCCCTTCGGGAAGCTCTCGCTCTTGCTGTGAGCTGCCCCTTGGACCCCAGAAGCAAAGGCTAGTCCTGACAACTAACTTTATAAGAGGGAGCCCCAGATAGTCCCCTAAATAGCACCCACCTAAGGAACCTGTCGTAGTTATAGGGTGCTGTACTTACTTTCTCCATCAGCAACTGCAAAACAGATCAGCTAAAATTGGAGAGGACTACCGTGTTCAGAATCTTTCCCAAATGCTTACACAGAACTTTTTGTTTAACACTGCAACCAAGAAGGCAGCCAGCCAGTGTCCACTCATATTCCTCTGAGGCTAATGCTTTAATTAATAGACAAGCAGCAAGACTGAGACTTTATATCACTTTAGAGCAACGGTCGGACAGATGCTTACATTATAAGATCACAGGAATGAAAAAAAATACATGCATCTCAGCCTTCCCCAATGCACAGGTGTATGTCATCTGCTGATTTAAATTTTTAACCTTAAACCATAAACCTTGGACCAGTAATTCCTAACTCACGTCCAAATCCCAAATCTCCTAAGCTAAAGGAACAGAGGGTATTCCCCCAAGCTATTTTTCGTATTCCAAAAGATGAGTTAGAAATGTTACATTTGCCCAAAGTAGGAAAATGCAGGTTAGTGAAAACAAAGTTCTTATGTTTGGAGCTAAAATTACATCATCTGGAAGTAGAACCCTGGTTATATCATGTTGATCAAAAACTGAGACCAGCAATTCTGTGTCAAGGATTAGTTAGATGGGAAATTAAATGAATTGTCACTTAAGAAACAGTTTGTTCAGAATACAGAACTGTTAATAATGTGCTATCTTCAGAAGGAGAAATAAATTATGGAGTATTCAGCATTAAATTGTGTGAAAGCACTGTCTTAGAATGCATAAAGATCAGGAATATTATTATTATTATTATTATTATTATTATTGCGGTATGCGGGCCTCTCACTGTCGTGGCCTCTCCCGTTGCGGAGCACAGGCTCTGGACGCGCAGGCTCAGCGGCCATGGCTCACGGGCCCAGCCGCACCGTGGCACGTGGGATCTTCCCGGACCGGGGCACGAACCCGTATCCCCTGCATTGGCAGGCGGACTCTCAACCACTGCGCCACCAGGGAAGCCCAGGAATATTATTTTTTGAAAAAGAAAAAGTGTCCTTTTATAGTGAGGAGGTTTTAGCTACTATAGATGCAATTTAATTTTAAAAATCAATTCAACAAATTTATACAGAAATGGCAGTGCCCCCAAAAAACACTGCAAATTTTTTTATAGATGAAATATGTATTAAGCATGAATACATAAAAACTAGATTTCACCTTGGTCTGTAGCAGAGCAACTTAATATCCAGAAGTACATATTTTAGAAATGACCCAAGATGTGAGTAGCCCAAGTTACTGGGCTACCTGGTAATTCCACAAACTTTAAGCAACCCCCTTTTTTTTTTAACTTTTTATTTTATATTGGAGTATAGTAGATTAACAATGTTGTGTTACTTTCAGGTGTAGAGCAAAGTGATTCAGTTATACATATACATGTACCTATTCTTTTTCAAATTCTTTTCCCATTTAGGTTGTTACATAATATTGAGCAGCATTCCCTGTGCTACACAGTAGGTCCTTGTTGGTTATCCATATAGCAGTGTGTACATGTCAATCCCAAACTCCCAATCTATCCCTTCCCCCCAACCTTCCCCCCCGTTTTGTAAATAAGTTCATTTGTACCTTTTTTTTTTTTTTTTTAAGATTCTGCATGTAAGCAGATTATCATACTATATTTCACTTTCTCTGTCTGACTTACTTCACTCAGTATGACAATCTTTAGGTCCATCCATGTTGCTGCAAATGGCATTATTTCATTCTTTTTAATGTAAGCAGCCCCTTTTGTCATCCACCTACCAGCATCTACACACTGAGGCACTGGGAGCCTGAAACAAGTACTGGAACAACTGTTAGAGAAGCAGGACAGTGCAGTGGTCAATACAGCACACACTCAGGGCCAGACTGCCTGGTGTAAACCCAGCTCTCCCACTCCCTGGCTTTGTAACTTTAGGTTAGGATTCTGTGCATCCATTTCTGCATCAGTGAACATACAGGAAGGGCCTGGCCTTTCGTAAGCACTATGTAATGCTAGTTATTGGTATCTCTGGTGGTGACCCTGTAAAAAAGCCTTCCTGCCACATGGCTCTGTGTTCTCTCCCCTCCACCACACATTCTTTCGTAATCTCTCCTCTTCTTTGCTTCAGCACATCTTCTTTCATCTCTTGGAGCATTTCAGGCTCATCTACAAGATAAGACACAAACACCAGAGACCCAGCACAAGACCACCTGACCAAAGGGCTCCTGAGACCTGAAAGAAGAAAGATTCTCACAAATTGGTTTCTCTGAAACCAACTGCCAGTGAAAATCCTGATGCCTCAGAAAGTAATTCTCTCCACTGTCAAGAGGAGTGGAGATTTTACAATGAATTACTTGCCTGTTCAAGTAACAGCTTGAAACTGGCACCTCCAGGGCCACAGAGAAAATCATACAGTCAACTCAAGCTCATTCTGAATGTTAAAGGGACCCAATTGATCCTGGCATGTCGGAGCAGGGAAAGTACTTTGCAAATCATCTAGATCAAGGGTCACATACCCAAATACCCAGCATACCAGCCAGGTCACGAATCACAAAGGGACTGGGGCTGGCTGGGGACAGCAGTCAGCTCCAGCCACTGCTGTCATGGGCCTGGGACTGCCAGAGGCTCTGAGTGTTTAAAAGAAGCTGGAAAGTCAGATTCTGGGGAGGGGGGAAGGTGCAAGCAAAACACACCTGCAAGACAGATATGGTCCAAGTGCTGCCGGGTTTCACACCTTGAACCAGACAGGGCAGGGCAAGCCTCAGACCCCTGGAGATCACACAGCTACCACGCTAATCTAATGGTGGGGAGGGGACTAGGGTCCCCAGCTGTTCAGACTCAATAAAGAATATGACTTATATAAGAACTACTTTTTTCCTAATGTAAAAGGATATTGTGATATTAAAACCAAATTTTCCTTCCAAACACTGCTAAATTGATGAGTTTTCATTTCCCATTTTCTCAAATGAGGAAATTCTAAAAGCACAACCGTCCTGTACTGTACACAGACTTTATTTACATTAGAGAGGGGACCTTCACACTTGCACTATTCACAACCGCCAGCGAGACCAATCTTCCATTTGATGGTTGAGACTGAAAGGTTACGGGGCTTGCCCCCAGGCTCCAGATCCCTCGCAAAGGCAGGAGAGGAAGCCAGGCTCCCGAGTCCCAGTCCGTCTCCGTCTCCTCCACCAGGGCAGGTAGACTCTGCCCCAAGAGTGGCCCAAGAAGTGACAGCCTGGATGAACACCCAGGATAAATGTGATCAAAAACAATATCTGGGGCCAAGTTTTTTCACCATCACCTCTTCAAAGTTCCACAGGAGCTCAGAAATAGAAGAAGCCTGGATAACCCGATAGCCCAGACCACCTCAACTGCATCCCAACTGGGGGTCTTCCTGTCTGGCGTGGATAAGGGACTCATTGTTGCAATGCTGGATAACAATGCCACTGGAGGACTTAGGCTTGCCTGGCCATGACACTCTGATCTCCAGGCCTGGCCCTCAGAATGTCTACATCCCTCTCCAGCCTCTCACAATCCACTTCCCTCTCCCCAGCCCCAGACACTGCCTCTGTATGTTCCCTTCCTAGTCTCTCTTCTCCTGTTTGCTCCATTTCCCCAACTAATTGGCTTCCTGATGAAAAAGAACTTATTCCCTTTCGATTCTTGCTCTCAGTCTGCAGGCATTAGTCAAGGATGACTGGCTTAAGCTGGGAGCACAGAGGTCACACACTTGAGACAGAGAACTGAAAGAACTTGCCCACTAAGTCAAGACAAGGTACCCTGGAAGCAGAGCAGGGGCTGGGGAAGCGGGGCCTGCATTCCACCCAGGATGACTGCAGCTGTGGGAGGCAAGACCGCCAAATACAGCTGTGTAAGCTGCGCACTGCACAACTCCAAGGGCACCATTCCAAGAGGCCAGGCTGTGAGTGGCACCATCTGGAGTTGCGTTAACAGAGCAGCCCAGGGACGGGTCAGTGGCCCAACCTGCAGGCACATGGAAATGGGAGTCTGGCTATTAGGAGATGAAGCACATCTTTCAATGAGTCAAGTAATAGTGACTGAATGGCCAACTGAGTTTCCTATACTGGAGTGTGCTTACAAACTCCCTGGCAGCTTAGTTAAAAAGAGGACTGCCCAGCCCTCCCCAGAAATTCAGAATCCTCAGCTCTAGGTACGGGATAGGAATATCTGTGTTGTTTTTTTAACAACCAGCCTCTTGAGAAACCCTAGCAAACAGAGCTGAGGCTTAGGAGAACACAAACACTACAAGGGCCAAGACTGGGTTACCGAGGGGAAAATGTTTTTATTTTTATATGTTTATTCCTTCCATTCCAGCACTACTTTATGAATAATGTTATTTCTAAAGACCATTAATGATGGCAATCACATATAATCCATGAAGCAAATGCCACCAGAAACCCCAACCCTGGCTATTCCTTACCACAATTTTTAAGAGCAGACTGACACCCTAGACCCTAAAATGAAAGCGCTATTTTGACAGCTTGCTAAATTGATGGCCACCATTCGCCAAATCATAGGAAATCCATGCTCTTGCTGAGAAGCTTCCTCTTTCCAGCATTTCAGTGTGGCAAATACCCAGACACATACCTTGGGCTCCTCCTTCATCACCTGTTCAATGAGCTCGGATTTCATGGGAGGTTTTGAATACTGGCCTGAGAGAAGGCCGTGTCCTAACTTAGTCCTGGACAGGAGGGAGAAACAGACAAAAAGGTTATTGCTGTTTCCCCTCAGAGATCTTAAAATTACCTACAAATTTCAGTAAGTACAGCTGCAGCTGCTTTTAGGTGGAACACTGTATCTCAATTAGTCACAAATAACTTATCTGTTTGATTCTGCTTCATACTGATTCCATTTTCAACTTTTCTCAGTACTTTACAATTTTACTGATTTTTTTCTTTTTACAAAAGCAACACATACTTATTTCAGAATACTTTTAAAAATACAGACAATAAAGAAGAGAATTGCCTTTATTTAATTCTGCAACCCAGAGAAAACCACTATGAACACTATATCAGATACTTAAAAATTACAACAGGGCACTTACATCTGTGTGTTGAAATCTTGTGTTGGATCTAAAGGAGAGTAGTCAAATATTCTTGGAAGATTTCCTACATATCTAGAAAATGAAAAGCAACAGTCAAAACATAGGAACTGAGAGATGAACAGAACCAAAATAAGCTATCATCCTAGCTAAGACCTTCTTGTCTTTCTATTAACACTAAATCATCCACCTGAAGAGAATTTTTTTCCTGAGCTCCTGCCTCTGCAGTCAAATTCATGGGCCTTCCTAAAAGGTTTATGCTTCTATCAATGGGTCTCAACCCCAGGTACGAGTTAGAATCCCCTAAAGAGTTTCTAGAAAAAATACGAAAGCCAGAGCCACCCCCAGATGTTCTGATTTCACTGCCTGAGGTTGAGGCCTGGGATTTGGAATCTTTTACATGTAGCCAGAGTCAAGGACCACTGGCTTACGCCACCTCAACTACCTTCCCAAAAACGAAAGGTAAGGTTAGGAATTGTTCTGGTGGTGTCAAAATGAATAATGACAGCAGTAACAACTACCGTTTCTGAAGCGTTTCCTAAACTGCCTGATTAAGACTTCATTACAACCATATGAGGAAGGGATTATTGTTGTTACCTCATTTGAGAGATGAGAAATCAGGGTGCAAATGCATTAGGTACCTTCCAAAATCACCCAAGAGGGAGTGATGAAGCCCAGAGTAGACCCAGGCAGCCTGGCGCCCAAGCTGTGCCCTGAACCACGCTGCCAGATGTACCTGCCCCAACCACAGTCCCTTGTGCAGCCCACAAGCCCTCCTTCTGACCAGTTTACCTGACAGAGCAGTCTAACTGTAAACATCCATCGCTCATCTCAACACACAATCATTTCTTTTTTTAAAAATTTTCCTCCAAACGTGTCAAAAATATATTTTCCTGTATTAGTTGTTTCCAGTAGTACATATCTGTCAGTCTGTCTACAGAGCAATCTTCAAAATTAAGTAGATGAATAAACTAATATCTTTTTCACTGAACAAGCATGTTTTTCAAAAGAGAAAGCATGTAAGTGAATTCATTACATTTAAATAATTATACATAGATTGGAAATTATTTTAGTTTAAATTTTTTTAACATCTTTTTTGGAGTATAATTGCTTTATAACATAGTGAATCAGCTATACGTATACATATATCCCCATATCCCCTCCCTCTTGCATCTCACTCCCACCCTCCTTATCCCACCCCTCTAGATGGTCACAAAGCACCGAGCCGATCTCCCTGTGCTATGCTGTTGCTTCCCGCTAGCTATCTATTTTACATTTGGTAGTGTATATATGTCCATGCCACTCTCTCACTTCATCCCAGCTTACCCGTCCCCCTCCCTGTGTCCGCAAGTCCATTCTCTACGTCTGCTGCGTCTTTATTCCTGTCCTGCCCCTAGGTTCTTCAGAACCCTTTTTTTTTTTTTAGATTCCATATATATGTCAACACACAATCATTTCTTTCACTTCTTAAGTTCATTTCCTATTTCACGCCCCCTGCTTTGTGCTGTTCACCTTTCCCTCTTGAGGCTTGGACTCTCTGAGGCTAACAGCTCTAGGAAGAAGCATCCAGAAGCAGATCCCTCTCCCTGTCCCATCCTGCACCCTGCCCTGCCTGCTTCTCTGACCACATTCCCACCCCTCTCTCCCAGACCACAACGCCCCAGCCATTTCCCCTTCTTGCTGCCCAGGGCACACCAAGCTCGCTCCTGCTTCAGGGTCATGCCATCCTGCTGTCTCTTTCCTGGAATGCTCTCTCTACGGATCCTTGCTCCCTTTCATGTTCCATATCACCTGAGCCTGGCTAACTTTCTTCTTGGCATGAATCACTATTTGCAACTATACAATTTATTTATGTTCTTGTTTATTATCTATCTTTCTAGAGATCACATACTAGAATATAATCTCCATGAAGGCAGAGACTTTAAATGGCTGCATCTCCAGCACTAGAACAGCATCTAACATGTAAAAGGCACTCGATAAATATGTGTTGAATGAATATATTCATATCATTTAATCACACAACCAATTTTCATAACTGACTACCTAATGACCCAACAGAACAGGCATTACTGCAGTAAAGTCTTGGTAGAGAATCATGATGCACTACAGTTAGTAATGACCTCTAATTAGATCCCTGAAATACTAGAAACTTCTAGGCACCTGCTGATTACAAACTCGGAATTTGTATCCAAGGTTATGTACCAACATAAAAATTAACAGAGCACACGTCTCTGGAATAGTCCCATTCAAATGGCTTTTGGTTGTATCACTAGAACAACAATTCCGTTTAGAAATTTTCAATGGACCAAAAGCCAAATAATAGATAAACCAAACTATATTCAGAGTCAGAGGTTGCACTGATGAATTCTTAATTAATATACAACACGATAAACATTAGTTCTCTTACAATCCAGTCTTTATCATATCTCAAAACCTGACAAGACAAAAAAAATCCACTGGTAAGATGAACATTAGTGAAAAGCTTACGCTTTCCAGCAAGGTTGATGGAGAAGAATAAAGTTAAAGGGGGTAAATCTTTGATGTCAGAAAAGTCCATTTTGCTAGTAATTTATATTCCTTTTCTAATCAATGAGGAATATCCTCTATTACAACAAAATTAAATTAAAAGGCAGCAGTAGGGGCTTCCCTGCAGTAGTTAAGAATCCACCTGCCAATGCAGGGGACACGGGTTCAAGCCCTGGTCTGGGAAGATCCTACATGCTGCAGAGCAACTAAGCCCGTGTGCCACAACTACTGAGCCTGTGCTCTAGTGCCCACGAGCCACAAATACTGAAGCCCGTGTACCTAGAGCCCATGCTCCACAATAAGAGAAGCCACCGCAATGAGAAGCTTATGCATCGCCAACAAAGAGTAGCCACCATTCACTGCAACTAGAGAAGGCCCAAGCGCAGCAACGAATACCCAGCGCAACCAAAAATAAAAAATAAATAAATAAAATTTAAAAACATTTTAAAAGGCAGCAGTAATGCTGGATAATTTTTAAAGTATCAATACTTATATCTTCAATTTGTAATCTAGTGGTTTTCAAAGCAAAAAACAGTTTTGCTATCTGACAATCCATCTTCGCTGTCATTCAATTCGTACACCAGTTTATTTAGATTTGCTCCTCATTGGAATTATTTTGAAATGTAAACTGGGTTCAAGTGGCAGGGTATCAAGGAGTCCAGCTGATGTTCCCGAATTACACCGTGGTTGTGCATAAGTCATTTAATCTCCCTGTGAGTCACTCTTTCTACTTACAAAATGGAGATACCAGTCCTGGACATAACTCCACTGAGTTAGTCCCACTGGGGAAAAAGGAGTTTGAAGAGCAAGTACTTCAACCCAGTGACATTTGGTAAAAGAACCAAAAGACTGAGGACAAGTATGAAAAATAAGTTGCTCATGTTCTAATATATACAGTAAATGTTTAGGAAATATTAGATACTACAAAATTCTACAACCCTTGAAACGAGACCAGGTGAGAGATTCAAATCATAATTCCAAATTATAGACATGAGGTACATTTTTTTTTTTTTTTTTTATGGTACGTGGGCCTCTCACTGTTGTGGCCTCTCCCGTTGAGGAGCACAGGCTCCGGACGCACAGGCTCAGCGGCCATGGCTCACGGGCCCAGCCGCTCCGTGGCATGTGGGATCTTCCCATACCCGGGCACAAACCCGTGTCCCCTACATCGGCAGGCGGACTCTCAACCACTGCACCACCTGGGAAGCCCTGAGGTACATTTTTTCACTGAAAAAAAAATTCAGAAAGTTAATTGTCCATCAAACTTTGAAGTGTAGAAAATATTTTCAAAAACTGTAGGCTGTAAAGCACTAAAAATGTTGTTGCGCTTTGTAACAAAAGAATATAAGTGTCTTCCATTCTAGTTTAAAAGAAATAATAATTATACAACACGTACCATAAGGACTTTCCCTCAATAGTTTAAAAAAAAAAATCTTGTAGCATGAGACAGATAAGATGAAGCTACACTGTTTCCAAATCAAATGATAATACAGGTATGAGACATGGGTAAGAATTTATAAAAATAATACAATGCATGATGCATATCTCTGAAAAGGTTTTCGCATCTCAGAGCTTCAAACTTGCTCCTCCTTTTCTCCAAAACCCTGTCTACACTCCCCCTGCACATCAGTCAAGGTGATTATCCCTTTGTGTGTCCCTTCTTCAAAGAGATCCTCCCTGACCACCTCCTTCCCTTTTCCTTCATGGAATTTACCGTATTTATAACCATGCAGTTGTTCTTATGATTACAGATACTCTTCAGCAAAGGATGGGGTTACATCCCAATAAACCCATCATAAGTTGATGATATCGTACATTGAAAATGCATTTACAATACCTAACCTATCAAACATTGAAGCTTAGTCTAGCCCACCTTAACCATGCTCAGAACACTTACATTAGACAACAGTTGGGCAAAATCATCTAGCACAAAGTCTATTCGATAATAAAGTGTTGACTATCCAATCTAGTTTATTGAATACTGTACTGAAAGTGAAAAACAGAAAGGCTGTCTGGGTACAGAATGGTTGTAGGCATATCAGTTGTTTACCCTCAGGGTCGCGTGCCCGCCTAGGAGCTATGGCTGCTGCCCTGCCCAGCATCACAGGAGAGTATGTACCTCCTGTCACTAGCCCAGGAAAAGAGCAAAATTCAAAGTTTCTACTGAACACATATCACTTTTGCACCATCTTGAAGTCAAAAGATCTTAAGTCGAATCATCATAAGTTGGGGACGGTCTACATTTATTTAATGTCTGTTTTCCCAACTGGGGCTGGGCACCAGGTCCTTTTGTTTACCACTGAACCCCCCATACCCAGCACACTGCTGAGCAGAGCAGAACCCACTCTTTATTGGCTGGATGGAAAAAATTAAAACCTGACATGGAAAACTGACCATAAATTTCCAAAGCCAGGAACAGTATGAAGAGGTAAGACTTCAAATACCAAGAGAAGAAAGAAAAGGACATCTGATATACTTTTATTAACTACCTTTAAAATCATTAGCATTCAACTCCACATGGGTTAAAAATTGCCCTGTGCTGTCCCTAGCATGCTATCTGCCCGTCATTCTGTCTTAGCACATGTGTCCTCTTCCATACTTGAACCAAGGTCGAATCCTACCTGCTCTGGGAAACACTAGAGATTATTTCCTAAACTGAGGCAGTGGCTGCCCATGAGCTGCAGCTACCAGTCTCTGTGGCTCCCTGTCCTAAGCACAGTAGAAGGAAGAAAAGGGCCAGAGACACAGCCCCTCTGCCCCTCACCAAGGGAGGAAGCAGGCAGCCTGAACATGTACAGTTGGGAAGCACCCTAAATCAGTGCCTCCCAATTACTTGTGGTGAAGGGCCAGCTAGTTTGTTGATTTCAACTCATATAGATGATACCTTTAAAAATACAATAAAAATAAATTATAGTTGACCCCTGAAAAACACGGGAGTGAGGGGCACCAACCCTCAGCACAATCGGAATTCCACGCATAACTTTACAGTCAGCCCTTTGGATTCGCAGTTCCTCCTTATCCATGGTTTCAACCAACCGCAGATCCTGTAGTACGGTAGTATGTATTTATTGAAAAAAATCCACATATAAGTGGACCCGTGCAGTTCACACCCATGTTGTTCAAGGGTCAACTATATTGAAAAAATGAAATGCCACTTATAAAAAACGACAACGTCAAAGGCCTACCACAATTTCTGAATGCTCACTCTCAATTTCCATACCTGTCTCATTTCGGATCCACATCCAGCAGTCCAAGGACCAGCACCATCTACGAACCACATTTTGAGTAGCAAAAAAAGAAAAGCTTAAATCCTCTTAGAAGCTCCACTCACTCACCACTGACCAACCAGATCCTCTCCTAGCACATCTATAGGAAGAGATGTGGCAGTTTTGCTGTGAAGCTTAATGATTATTACTTTCTTGGCATAGAGTGTATTGGTCTAAAATTGGAAGCCATTATTAATATGACAAATCCCTGTAGGAGGTTTTCCAGTTTACAAAGCTCTTCTTATCTCACCTGATCCCCATAACACTTGACAAGTGTTCTCACCCAGCTTCATGTGGGAAGTCACAGCACAGATGGTGAAGGACTTCCTCAGCACACACTGCCTGACTGGACGCGGAGGGGATGCAGAGCAGGCTGTGCACCCTGGTCTACACGGGACACTTACGCTCTCTGGAATTCTGGGATGCTGAAGATGGCCTGCATCACAGAGCTGAGATAGCAACTGTTGCCCAGGTTCTTGAGACCCGTGTATCCGGGGCCGTACATGGGCTTCAGCTTCGTCCCCGTCTCCTGGATCACCTCCCACTCGCTGATCCGCGGCTTGCTATCATTGTCCTGGAGCCCATTCTCTGTCTGGGGCAACGTCATTGAAGAAATACAACTTTAACAATGATTATCATTCAAACATCATGTCCCACCAATTATTTCTAACAGCAATAGACGTTTCTGCCTTTCTTCCCCAGTTAAACAGAGAAATAAACAACCTCATTAAAAAAGACTGACGTGGGGGCTTCCCTGGTGGCGCAGTGGTTGAGAGTCCGCCTGTTGATGCAGAGGACACAGGTTCGTGCCCCGGTCCGGGAGGATCCCACATGCCGTGGAGCGGCTGGGCCCGTGAGCCATGGCCGCTGAGCCTGCGCGTCCGGAGCCTGTGCTCCGCAATGGGAGAGGCCAGAACAGTGAGAGGCCAAGTAGAATAATCTCAAGGGCAGATACAATGCAACACAGCAAACAAAAAGCAAGGCAGTTGGAGAAGGAAGTAGAATAAAACCATGGGGTTCAGGAGAAGCTCGACATGGGAGGGAGGTTTAAAGAAGAGCACAGAAAACAAATTAAAAAGTGACATGAGTGGGCTTCCCTGGTGGCGCAGTGGTTGAGAGTCCGCCTGCCGATGCAGGGAACACGGGTTCGTGCCCCAGTCCGGGAAGATCCCACATGCCGCGGAGCAGCTGGGCCCGTGAGCCATGGCCGCTGAGCCTGCACGTCCGGAGCCTGTGCTCCGCAACGGGAGAGACCACAACAGTGAGAGGCCCGCGTACCCGCAAAAAAAAAAAAAATGACATGAGTGAGAAAGAGGAGTTAGAGAGGAGAACATGAGGAGAGGGAGATGACATGGGCTAAAGCAAAACACGCACAGTTAACCAGCTCCTCACAGGGACAAATATTACACAGTCACGATACCAGCCTGAAAACACAATATGAAATGAGGCAAAGCGTTTCCATCAACAATACTCTTTTGGCTTATTCTTTCCACCCGTGCCCCAGGAGCTCTGCTTCCCTTCCTGTAATCAATTAAAGTGATGTTGGTCACAGATTATTTTAAAGGTCATCTCCCCGTACCTTCTCCCTTTAGTGAACAAAGAGTGATTCACGCAACTCTCCATCAAAGGAGACAGAAATTTTGCAAGTAAACTCCAACTAAAACAAAATGGTACTGGATGAGCTTCCATTTTTACTATAAAATAAAAATTAAAAATCTAAGCTGATAACCAAAAGAAAATGCTAATTAAGTTCAAGAAGTAAATGCAAACATTAAAACCTAAAACCTGTAAAATGAAGATTTGTGTGATAGGAATTATATAAATAAACCAAACAGTTTCCCCGCTAAGTGGGAATAGAGACAAAAGGAGACCTTTCTTACCCCATGCATATGAAGCATATCAATTCCAAAATGCGCTAAGTGCTTGGCCAAATGGGGATCCAAAACAGGTTCCTCTTCTTGGAAAGAATAAACATCTAGAAGGTGAAGAGAAAATAAGCACTGAGATCTGTAATCAAGTCATTCAATAATCAACACCTATTTACCGAGCTCCTACTATGCCCTGAGCTTGGGATATAGCAATGAACAAAACAAAAATCTCTTGTGAGTTTCAACTGGGAGGGAAGACAGATGATAAAAAATAAGCATAATAAATAGGTATTTTTGTAAATATACCCATAATATCAATTCTTTTGACATTTCAGAAAGTAATTTTAAAAAGGTTTCTGAAACAAGAAAAAAAGAACAGTGTCTAAAGTTAAATAATTCAAAATTAGACAAATACAAATGCCTGACACGGATTGTTCTAACCCGAACCCCAGTGGCATAGATATAAGTTCGGGAGGAGGAAAGGGTGATGGAGGAAACAGCCACGCCGTCTGCCCACGCAGGGAGAACAGAGAACACACAGGCCCTCGGGGCTGCCGAATGGCTGGACCGCAGTGTGAGGTCCAGGACAAAACAAAATTCTGCCTGTGGAACCCTCTATAGTCTCTCTGGTAGTCCCAGACCTACCACCTCACGACCCTCCACCTCCGCCTGCCCCCTCATCCCCTCTTCCCTACTTCAGTGTCCACACCCCACAGAGCTGGTGAGGGATCTGTGAAGACTGCTGTGCTTCCCAAATGCGTCCACCCTACAGCACACAGAAGAAGATGATGATGCGTTTAGCACAGTGGGGTAACTCAGGAGGCTCCGCCCACCCCAGGACCTGAGGGATCAGCATGTTGGCCTCGTCCGTAACCCACTCACGGCACACCGGTGTCGGGAAGCTGTGTGTTTGGGGGTGGCAGGGGAGGGTTCTCTCCTCAGGACCCTCAATATCCCCCCTGACAACATAAGGCTTTAGATCGCACCTGGCTTCTTGCGGTATGATTCAAAGCAGCAGCATTACCTGGGAGCTTGTGAGAAATGCAGAATCTCGGGCCCAACCCCAAACCTACTGAATGAGAATCTGCATTTTAACAAGATCTCCACGTGCACAGCAAAGTCTGAGAAGCACTGCCTAGCGTTTTCAAAAGCTATCCAAACCGCTGCCTTATCTGTCGTCATAGGGCAGTGCAATGCAGTAGAGGGAAACATTTTCAGGCCCATTTTGCATGTAAGGAAACGAGGGCTAGAAAAGTTAAATCATTTGCCTCAAACCCCACACGTGGCCAAGAACCCAGGTATTCTGACTCCCGGCCCAGTCCTTTTTCCTCTGCACTAGACTATTTCCTCAGATCTCTCAGGAGACCAAGAGGCTCAGTGAAGCACCATCCTAGGCCCTTAACAGGAATGGAGAGTCAAAAACCACAATTTCTTCACTTCTAAATCTGAAAAACAAAATCTGAAAATAGATATAAAGATATTATTCTTTAGGACAGTAAAAGATAGACTGTTCAAGGAGTTTCTTGCTCTTTGGAACAATACCAGGAGTAGAACAAAAAGTAATATATATAGAAACTATGGTGACGCTCTGACCCAGACCCAGATACAGAGACTCACTGCCACCCCTGAAAAGCCACTCTTTCTATTATTAATAGATTAAACATTGTATAGCTTTCTCTTCTATCCCTCTTCCCTTAGGGGCCCATTTTAACTTGTGAATAGCAGCCTTCATCTATATTCCTTTTTACAATATAATTCAGTGCTCTCAAAAGCAAAAACAAAAGACAAAATCCCCCGCCCAATGAAGAAAAAAATTTCCAAAAAGTTTAAATACAAAAAAAAAAAATCTTTGAACTAATAACTTAAAACAAATACATCAATGATATTTTTAATCTATGACACATGACACCAAAATACCACTCAAATATTGGCTGGAAGGTGAAAATGACACTCCCCAGGCACTTATCTTTGGTTATTATTAACTAGTGAGATAGTTTTGAAGACTTAAGACTTTAAGACCCTAAGGCCCTAAGCCTCTAATTATCAGAGCTCCAAGAGAAAATAAGATTGCTAGAAATGCACCATTGGCATGGGTCTAGGATTTCGAAATAAGTGAAAATCACATAGAACTCTATGGTTCTTAAGCCATTAGGCTCCAGCCTAATGAGAAATTAGTGAGAAATTAACATTTCGTATCTCCAGTCATTAACTGCTCCAAAAATGTGACATGATTTGGTCAGACACAACAGTTACTTCTTACCCCAATAACAAAAACAGTTTAGTGAGTAACACACAAGAAATCTAAAAATCAACTGTGATCCTTAAACTTGGCAATCATGAAGAATTTTAAAATGACATGTAGTCATAGAAAAAAAATTTGAAATAGACTCAGGAGCTGCAAATCCTTACACATTTTTCATTGGGAAATTCACTTTATTTCCAACTTCTGCTTAGCAAAGTCAAGTCTTAGCTCAGAAACTATTGTAGCAAATAAGCACTGCCTGACAAGTATTACCCTGCTGACCCCTTCCTTGACTTAAAAGCTTGGAGCCAAGACACACAGTTAGGAAGCTCACAGAAAGATCCTCCTAGGAATAGTCCAAGCAGAGTTTCATGAGTAACTACGTTTACTTTAGAAGGAAACCAGTCATTGTTTCATTTCAAGTTAAATGACAAATTAAGCCATGGAGAGCATGGAGAGACCCGCAGAAGGGAAAAGATAAAAGAAAAGGTTTACAGCATGAATAACTCATTGATGTGATAAGCATGTTAGAAAACAGTATGTGCATTAAGTTCCAAAACTAAGGAAAAGATTAGAGAATAGAGATGGAGACTAAGACTGAGACAAAGACTGAGAATCTGTAAGGAATTTACATAAAAATGGTAATAATTTCTTTTCTCTGAATGGGAAGGTTTCTTTTTGGTTTTTTGCTTTTCTTTTTTCCCCAAATTTATTATATTTTGATTGAAAAGAATGTTTTATAAGTAATTGCCAAAGATTAAAATGTTTCTATATGGTGGTATACTATTAGGACTAGTGTACCACTGGTCGTCCTTGTTCACCCACAGGGATTCACTCACTCACTCATTCACTCATTTATTGATTCATTCATTGTATTCAACAAATATTTACTGAACACCAAATATATACAGATACTGAGGATTTAATATTAAATAAGACAAGCAGGGTCCCTGTCCTCACAAGTTTAAACTTTATTGTTTCAAATAGTCTTACAAGAATGCTGGTTTAGTATAAAGGACCTCAACAGATGTCTTCTTGGCTGTGGCTTACTCATGTGACTTTGGACTCTCTTTCCTAAGCCCCAGAAAATGGCAGAAGTCCAAATTCTGCCCTCAGATACCCACACAGGAAAGAAGGAGAGAGAGGTAGAGATGTACCTCAACAAGATCTGGTGTTTAGAAAGACTAAAGAAACCAGAGAAGCTGGCTTCACTGCTCTATCATCACAGCTCAAATGGGAAAACAGAAACAAAAACAAACTCAGAACTCTTGGTCAAACACCAAGTCACAAGCCAGAGGAAAGGATCTCTCCAGAGTATGTATGATCCATTCACCCAAACTGCATCTCTCCACCATGAGTTTATATTTGCATGCCTATAGAGCATCTGCCACAGACAGGAAAAGAACAGAAACAAGAGAATGCTCCAGCAATTAATCTAGAAACCCAAACACAAAATGAATGAGGGCAGAGGTATATACCATCACCTTAGACAGTATAACTCCCAGGCCGGACAGAGCCTAGACTGTGGTCAGGAAAGGAAAACAATTAAGAGGAAAAAGATGTCCATAAAATAGGAAAAAAAGAAGAAAAAGAAAAAAAGGTAAATCAGAGGAGAAAACTTTATCAGTGTGTCTGTCTTCCTCCATCTGTTTACAACACAAATATTTACTGAGGACCTACTATGTGTGAGGGGCTATGCTAGATGAGACAGAATAGTAAACAACAAACGTGGCGCTCGGGCCCTGCTGTCCCAGGTGACCACCATTAGACACAGCGACAGGATCTCATGAAAAGTGCCACAGTGGAGCAGCACAGAGGCACACAGAGGGGCACAAACCAGGTCAAAACTAAAATGAAGTAGTCAATGCCTTGATCCAAATCCTTGAGCTGATACCCAGGTCAGGGGTGAAGATGACCAAAGAAGAAAAATCACCTTCAGGCGGCAGTGAGGAGGGAGCCCGTGGCGCAGAGGTCGAGGACCTCCAGGCTCACATCGACAAGCTGGCGGGGATCCTGCAAGAGGTGAAGCTGCAGAACAGCAGCAAGGACCGCGAGCTGCAGGCCCTGAGGGACCGCATGCTTCGCATGGAGAGGGTCATCCCCCGACCCAGGATCACGAGGATGAGAATGAAGAAGCCGGTGAGGCCACGTGAGCCCAGCCCCAAGGGTCTGAGACAGCGGAGCAGGAAGCCCCAGTGACCGAGCACCTCCCTCGCGGCCCTCCTCGCCGCCCCTGTCGAGCTGGGAGCGGGTGTCGAGGCTGATGGAGGAGGACCCCGCCTTCCGTCGGGGGTGCCTTCGCTGGCTCAAGCAGGAGCAGCTGCGGCTGCAGGGACTGCAGGGCTCCGGGGGCCGGGGCGGAGGGCTGCGCAGACCCCCCGCCCGCTTCGTGCCCCCTCACGACTGCAAGCTGCGCTTCCCCTTCAAGAGCAACCCCCAGCACCGCGAGTCCTGGCCGGGGGCGGGGGCCGGGGAGTCCCCAGCGCCACCCCAGACCCCTGAGGAGCTCACCCCCTCTCTGGCCACCCCTGCCCGCAGGCCCCCAAGTCCCCGCAGGTCCCACCGTCCACGCAGGAATTCCCTGGACGGAGGGGGCCGGTCCCGGGGAGGGGGTTCTGCACAGCCCGAACCCCAGCACTTCCAGCCCCAAAAGCACAACTATTATCCCCAGCAGCCCCAACCGTACCCAGCCCAGAGGCCCCCAGGGCCCCGCTACCCCCCATACACTACGCCCCCCCGCGGCTGAGACAGCAGCGCTCAGCCCCTGACCTCAAGGAGAGTGGGGCGGCCATGTGAGCCCCGCATCTTTGGCAGAGAGGGCCTGGCGGAGCCCCTCGCTGGGAGGAGATGCTGCTTCCCCAGAAGCCCTGGGGCAGGAGGCCCTAGAGACCAGAGAGAAGGTCCGAGTAGGTGATAGAAGAGCAACGGGAAGCTGCCTCGGCGCTGCCCCCTTGCGGGGGCGGGGCACAAACGCTGCTAGGGTGGGTGGGGGGCTGGGGTGCCGCGCAGTCAGTGTTTGACTTTCTTTTCAAGTGGGGGCAAAGGGGAGAGAACCTAGAGGGAGGTAAGGTCTCCCCCCTCCTGGCCCTGTCTGTCTGTCCATCTGTGGTGGGTTTCTGTTTCCAGGGAGGTGTGGTGGGATCATAAGTCATTCCTCTCCCCTTTCAGGCCTCCTGATATATTTGGGGGACCTGTCTGGCGTCTGGTTTACCTGGGGTCCCTGAGGATGTGGGACCTTTCAATAAAGGACGGAAAACAGAAAAAAAAATAAAAATCACCTTCAGATGCTGCTGAGCTGGTGCAGGGGCCAGTGGGATACGCGATTTCACTGCTGCCACGGGCACTACAGGAAGACTCTCCTGTAATCACCAAGGCTTTGAGGATTCTTCTTAGGTAAACTAATTTCTATGATGAAAGAAAAACACACCTTCTCTTGCCTCCAACCCTCTTCATTCCTTTCCCACCAAGAACCTCAACCTTGCTCTGCTAAAAGAATGTCTCCTCCCACAGAGGAAAGCTTGTATGGTGATCTGTTTCTTATTTTGTTTGCTGCTGTACCCATGGAACCCAGAGTGGAATTCGATATGGGGCCCACTTTTATTACCCAGCCACCACAATGGCCTAGCCTGGAGGGATCAAGGCTTCCTGGAAGAACTAATTCTAAGCTGAGACCTCAAGATGAGTAGGAGTTTCTCACTGAGCAGGTATGTTCTTACTGGAGAGAAGGAAAGCAGGACGACTGGATCACACGACCATTAAACATCTGAGTTCACAACCTGTTTGGATTCCATGTTCACTAAGCAATATTCTAAATATAATTCAGCTTCCCACAGGGAAGGAACGTACTGGTCAAGTTGACATAAACATCCCACTTACAGGTGGTTGTGGTTCTCACTAGAAACTAAAAACTAAACACCCCAACTTTAACACTTTGTCTCTTGTGAGTTGAATTAGCCTCAGTGAGCCTAGCAAGTATGGAAGATGGACCCTCACCAGTGGTACTGTCATCAGGAGAGGGCCACCCCACCCCCAGACAGAGGGCACCCTACCCTCCTGGGCCTCAACATCCACAAGGCCCATCATCAGACATTTATGGAAACTTTACACGTTTTCATTAACTTATTGGCTTTTTAAATAAACAATAAGCTACAACTAGCAATCTATTAAACAGATTTAAAAGAAATGAAAATAGAATTGATGCATCCCATAAACTAATACGTAATGATAATTAGACTGAAAATAATTATTTGCGTTAAAACCAACTCTGCACAAGATAAGCCGGAATCAAATCCTGATCTATTGTCAAAAAGTGAACATGGGGGGCTTCCCTGGTGGCGCAGTGGTTGAGAGTCCGCCTGCCGATGCAGGGCACACGGGTTCGTGCCCCGGTCCGGGAGGATCCCACATGCCGCGGAGCGGCTGGGCCCGTGAGCCATGGCCGCTGAGCCTGCGCGTCCGGAGCCTGTGCTCCGCGGTGGGAGAGGCCACAGCAGTGAGAGGCCCGCATACCGCAAA